CTGACAATGACGTCACACTGGAATTTTTTTTTCGAGGGGGGCTAGAACCGAACGTTACATGCAGCTAACAGGAGGAGGTAGGAGAAGCTGCGTTTTCGCAGACTTTGAATTTTTGCACATAGATGTGCCTAAACATGCACAGGACACTTGGAAAACACACTAAAGAGCATATAAAACCAGAAAAAAGCATAATATGACCCCTTCAAGGACCAGAACTGAGTGTTAACGTGTTGACTGAAAGCGAGATCGACAATGACACAAATTGGTATCTCTTCCAGTAACAGTGGACACCAACGCTGGAATTCTGCTTGGTTGCCTGAACTGCTTTTGTGAAGACCATGTTAAAATGCTTGAAGAGGGCTATTAAAATACACCCAGTTTTATCAAAACACTGTTTTCTACCCTGAAAGCAATCCAAAGTGATTCCTCTAGTGATAAAAGGGCCCCAGTGTTCATGACTATTTATATGCAAGACTATGATTGATGGTCTAACAGCTGCCTTTTGACTTATTCCATATTTTAAGGCTTGTTAAATCGTATTATCCCCCACATCCTCTTTTGCTTCACAGTGCTTGAATCAAGTTATGAAAAAGACACTCAATTTAAACCTTTTTAGACCGGGCGGCCAACTCTCACTGAGAATATTTCAGTATACTAAAACACATGAAAAAAAAAGTATAAAAAGAAATTTGAAGCTGACACACACTTCAAAACTTCTCAATAAAATGTTTTCATCGGCTTCATCAGAACCTTCAGCCTCTTGTCCATGCAGTATAATTGTAAGAGGCACATTGTGATTATTTCCCTCATAATGCAGTTCATTTTACTCTTCACCATAATAATGACTCACCATAAAGGGCAGTGTGAAGCTAAAGTGCACATAATTACACAGGGCCAGTTGGGAGCTGACACACACACACACACACACACACCACACACACACACACACACACACACACACACACACACACACACACACACACACACACACACACACACACACACACACACACACACACACACACACACACACACACACACACACACACACACACACACACACATTCCTGCTCATGTAGTGTATATGAGGGTTTTACAGCAACCACTAGACATTTTATAGAAGCTGTTTTACAGGGACAGATGCACATAGACTGTAAAGATTACTGACATTGCAGAGTTGTGTGTGACATGCTCTAATAATGGCCACATTACCCAACCAGCTCCTATAAAAGTGGCCACGATTAGAGAAACCAGAGGGAGAAGAAGAGAGAGGGAGGTTACAGGAAAAGTTAAAAAGGGAGGTTAAGGGGAGCGAAAAGACACACGAATCAACGCACACACTAATTGAATAATATAAACTATATATATGTGTTTGAAATAATGCATTTTTTCGGTGCATCAGTAGTTAATTTAAATTGGTCATGAATATCACCTTGGGCCTTCTTTAACGATCAGCTGCTTTTATTGACAAAGCTATTTCACTGAGTTGGACTCTCTACTTTACGCCTGAAAGCGTTATCGTTCTATGGAGGAAATTACAACAACCACATTCTTAATGTAAGGTAAAGCTATTTGAGGCTATGTTTAGTACTTCAGATGCTGACTCCTGTGAATGTTCCCATTATCTTGATTATTATGTTGGCGTTCAGTGTTCTGCCGATGTTCCTTGTGCTGGATTAAACTGCTTGCTTCCAACCACCTCAGCCTGTTAATTAGAAACATTCAAAGGCATGCATGTCACTGCTCTGAGATCAGATTTTTACCTCTACTTGTAATGTTACTCACAGAATCAGAAATCTATACAGACCAGTAACAACATTACTTATGTACTGCTCATGTCTCATTGTGTCCAATGACACCCTGAGTATTTTACTTTGATCCTTTTGTAAAAGAAGAATAGAAGATTTTTGTTTGTCTCCCCTGCAAACACAATACCTGTCGGAGCCACACTGATGGGTCAAAGATCATAAGAGGCTGATTTATGTTCGAAAAGGTCAGCAGTGGCAGGTGGGAAAAGGTTGAGTAAGTTGCCGGGTCAGTGATTGGCCACATGTCAAAATAACAACAACAAACAGACAACAACACATGAGCCAATGTGTGCTGGTTTTGCAGAGAACAATGCTCGTGGCTTCCATCTGGCACTTCCTTGGCTTTCTTAAAAGAGATTTCACACACTACAATCACATTCTGGATAAAGTTTGATTTTTATACGAGTCGGAAGAAGTGCCAATGCCGCCACAATGAAACATTTCTGATAAAGGAATAGTTAGTGGCAACGGATTAACAGAACAGACTCAAAAAAAGTAACAAAGAGAAGGAGTGCATGGCCAGAGAATGAGTGAATGTGTATGGGTGTGTTTGTGTAGGTGTGTGTGTGCCTGTGTGTGTGTGTGAGAGAGGGGGATTTTCTTCTCACATGTAGAAGTTTAGAAAAAAACATTTCACGCTGAAACTGGAGATGTGCAGAGACAACACCTGATAAAATAGCTGTTCTCACTGCTGCGAAGTGAATGATGCCCAAGCTTTTGTGGATTTCAGTCAACAGCAGCACACTGACACATAATGGCAAAAGAAATCATGTTGACACACACGTGCAATGACAACAAACATCTATTAAGCCAGGTAAAATGATTCGTCTGATAAATCCTTCGCTGACTGTTTGGGCTGGCATTTGCAACACTGTATGAGGAAATTCAATATCAACCTTACAGAATGCGCTGCCAGATGAACACTCAACACACAAATCCCACAGAGAATATCTACATCTTTAGCAGTTGTTCGTTCTTAACTTTTTCCTTTCTGCCATCTGGTGCTGGGCAGGTACAGTGACATGCTTTTCTAGAGCTTCTTCACTGAAAACAGCTGCCTGTTTATTCTGAAAATGATCTTGATGAAAGAAAAAGTTGTAAATCAAACGGAAATATACGTAAAGCAACAAACTAAAAGAGGCTAAAGTGCCTCATAGGGAAAATCCAGAGACCAATGTAATTCTCTTTGGTGTGGTTTGACACTAAAAGCAATACTATTGGAAAAAAGGTGGTCACCTATTTGTTGTTTCAGCCTCAGCCATTGACTCGATATAAAGATGGACAGAGAATCTATTACAGCATCGTTTAGCGGACTCTGTTGCTCCTTATGCGTCTTTTTTTTGCTAGTTTTTTATCTTACCTCGGTAGACCCCTTACTCTCTTAAACTAATATGGTAGACACAACTCTGCAGGAGCTGTATTTGTCAACAGACCTGTCAATCATGGTGCATACCTCTTTTTATAGGATCAAATAATACATTAAAACCAAACGTCTCAGAAAAATAAGCATTCTGACATGAATTGGCATGATAAGAAGTAATAATGACAGAAACAATGTTTGAGAAAAATGTATTTGATTGTATTGTTATTTTATAGATGGCCCCATTGAGGAGGCGGGGTTTACGACCTATACTCCAGACAGTCAGTAGGAGAGTCTAAAATGTTTTGGCCTCACTTTTGGAGATCTGTCATGTCGCCCATCTTTTTTTTTCAGTCTAAGGCCTCAAACATCTCTTTCTCCATTTGTTTTTGTTATTCTGTGTGCAAAGCTCCTTATACCTGATTATAATAATTAGTTAAATAAATAAATACTTTTCTTTGTTGCCTATATGTCCATTTTCCAAAAAAATGTCATATGATCAATTGCTGGTATTAATACTTTGATTAACAAACAAAGAATTCTAGGAAGGTAAAAGGGTGATCAAGAGTGTAAGTAAAATATAAAAATATGCTCAGTTATGGGATTGCTGCACACTTCAAGACTGACTTAAAACGTGGAGTATATATCAGACTGTAACTGCACTAAGATGTGATTCAGAATAAGTAAAAACAAAAAAGAAATACAAAAGTAACAAACACAACTAAATGCAAATGCTACTAATACTGACAAGCTCAAAATAGTTTACATTTTCTTTTTGCATTGTTCAATAAGTGGAATATGCTGAAACAGTATACGTGAAACTGTGTTTGTGTGCATGTGTGAGAGAGACACTGTGATGGTGGTGTGAGGAGTCTACAGTGAGGTAACTGATCCAGGCAAATTAGTTGATGACTGATTCACTGTAGCTGTAGTGGGCAGTCTGTAAAATGAATGTCTGCCCAAATGGTTCTTGTCATTGTCTTTTTTTGTTTTCCTGTGCTGTTCAGGCCCTACAGAGAGACAACTGACTGACTGTCTCAAACTTTGGTTTAATCTCAGGACGGGGGAAAGGCAGAGTGTTATCAGAAGATGGATCTGCAGAGGTTAATGCAGGAGGGGAATATCTGTTAGACCTCCTTGTTTAGATTAGACATCTTATCATTGCATCCTAGTGTTTTTTCTAAACTGTGTGCTGCCCATGAAGCCGACCACTGGCTCACAGTCTCAGCTTGAGTTAATAAAGGGAGACCAGCTTGTGGATTCATAACACCCAACACGATTCTCCAGTGTTTGCAGTGTAAAGGTCAAGGCTGTTGTTGGCTGGCCGAGATGCCAGTCTTACAACCACTTTCTGGTACACTGACTCAGTGTCTTAATGAAAAAAGTTTTTGCGTCTGGAAACTTGAGCATCTTGGATCCCCGAAGGCAAACATACAGCAGTAGTGTTTCCATAACCACAGCTTACTTTTTATGGGTCACAGATCATTTGCTTTTTAGTCTGCACTCATCTTAGTTTGCAAGAGCTTCTACGTCTAGATGGCCTTGTTTATTAAACATATGAGTGTGTGAGTGTGTGTGTGTTTGTGAGTGTTGTTAGGTTATAGTGTTCACTTGCACGATAAAAACTTCTGTCAGAAAAATCCTTTCAGAATATGCCTGCATACTAGTCCTTACCAAAATACCTTTGTATAAATTTCCCAATCATTTTTAAACATTCATTTATTTAATATCTGCACATTTAACTTTGGCAACCTCAGAGCAGACTGAATAACACAGCGAGCTGATTTAAAATGAGATGAACAAGAAAACAAGTCTCTCGATTTACTACTCACCATCAGACCACCTCATGGCGTCGTCAAGGTGCGTTGGCAGCCCCTTCCACAGCGTGCTGTCTTTAGGATATCCCAGATCCATACGCCTCAGGTGGTCGTCGTAGCGCCAGTACTGGTTGTCCTTGAAGAAGTAGGTTTTGTCGTTGTGGAGCCAAACAAAAGCTGCGTCCACACCGTCCGAGGGGAGGCCGAAGTCACTGATTGGACGAGGGTAACCCTCCTCTACATTATTGTCTTTGAATACCCAGTACTTCAGACCTGAACATGGTGGAAACAGAGGTCACAATAAAAGACAATTCATAATCTTATAGTTGTATGCATTCACCTGAATACTAAAAAACACTGACACTTTAAGTTCAATTTGGCTTTTAGACAGAAGTATCCCAGACACATACAAAGGAATATTTACCTTTGAAAAATACTATTTTGTGGTCGCCTGGCCTCTCATACACAGCGTCTACACTGTCCAGGTTGGGTGGGAGACCCCTCCAGAAGCGATGGATCTGAGCGGGACGCAGAGAAACCAGATGCCTCTCTCTGGTAAGCCGCCAAAAATACTTCCCTATGACAGAAAGCAACAGATTAGCGAGAAGAACATCTTCCCAACATCCTGGAAGAGTGTAACAAAAGAAAAGTCACATTCAGATATCTTGAGTCATCAAACAGCTGGTAACAGAGACCAGTTAAAGCCCCACATGTTATTAAATTGAACTCAAATGTAAATAATTACTGAAAATATTGTGTTCTGCACTTGACATTTTTGTTGTTTTATCTACCTGTGAAAAAAGCAAGTTAGGAAATAAGGCTTGTGTGAAGGTTTAGAGCTGTAACAAAACAATTAAGCAAGAACTGACATATTCTGAAAGAGCCAGTAAGGTTCATGTCCTGCTATGTTTTAATACGCTTTGTTTAATTTACCAGACTCACTGGTTAATAAGCTTAAAAGTCCCAGCTCAGCAGATAGGAAGTATACTGCAGGGTGGGCCCTTTGGGACCACTTTGTGTAGACCGCAGAAAATGTGACAGTGTGTGAGTCTGTGATACAAGCCCTGGGAGCCACACATGACTTGGCTTTCTATTGATCACTGGAGCCACCACTCGCCCAGCCCCCTGTCTCTTACTCGTTTCCTTTATCTCCCTCTCCATTCACCACTTTTTCCCCCTCTTCTGTCTCTCTGTCACTCTCCATCTATCCGTCTGTCCCGTCTGTCTCTCTTGTTTACTTTCTCCTAATAGACTTGAATACCTTTGAAAAAGAAGGCCTCCCCTCTTATTTGGGCCACTGCATCAAAGTGACTGGTGCATCTGTCGGGGGCATCTCGAGCCAGCCTGGAAGAGGGAGAGGCAGAGGACAGGAAAGGAAAAGTTAAAAGAGACAGGAAACAGGAAAAGTTTTCACTATAAAAAAAACAAAACATTTATAGTCTGTGCAATGAGCATTTGAAGCATCACGTTTGCAGCTTACGAAATAAGACCTCAAGCAGTTGAATCCATTTGCATACAAAGAAACTCCAACTGTAATTATTGCGGCCGCCTACTGAGAGCGTCTTAATGTGTGCATGTATCTGCATGTGTTTCTTTCAATTAAATAGGCTAAACATTAGGTTGAATGCTATCCCACTGACATGATGAGGTCCCCCCAGTGCACATCTCCCCCGGGGGCAAAGGGATTTAAAGCACTGACGTGGTCTGCCTGCCAATGATGGAAGCCATTAGCACCACAGATCTGCCACTGTGAGTGGGAGGCCGCCCGCTCTGGTTTTTATCAACAAAGATCTCCATTCAGAGATCTATTAACACGACAACTTGGCCTCGCGGTCAGCGTTTGTGACCCTTTCGCGAGCTTAATCCAGTTTTTCCACACGTCGCGACCAGATGGAGGTGGTGAAATATGAGTAATGAGTGCGGTGGAAAAGGGCAGTACTTGTGAGAAGAAAAAAAAAAGAGCTTTTAAATGCCTGTTTAGTCTCCTGCATAAGATTTGTTAGTTAGTGTGGGTGTATGCACGGAGGTCAGCAAGCTGCCTTCTCTTGATCCCATTAATTAAAAAGATCATTAGAGTACATTTAATTTATTTGCAAAGTAAGAAGGATGTGAGGTTAATTTGCAGTCGTGTCGAATGAAAATCAAATGTGTTGATACTCATACATGAAGTTCAAAATGCACTTGAACATTTTTTTTTTTTTTGCCTTGTAGCTCATGGGCAGTAAAATATGTGCCAGACACAGGCCCAAAAATATAAAGATAACACTAATAAGTCATTTTCCTGGTGGGGAGGAGAGATACTGTAGCGCAGCAGCTTGGATCCTGCTGTAGGGAGTCGTGTGAAATAACAGATAAAAGACTCATGAATCCAGGTCATCACTCAACATTCCCTTAAAGAGCATGTGCTGTGTAGTCTGACAGGCACACGGTGCATTGCACAGAATATAGGGTGGGTCTGATCAAGTATCTCCCTGCTCCTGAGTCACATGTCCTTACAACCGCTGCAAACATTAGAACGACATTTTGTTTTGATATTCATACTCGCCATATGATGATTCCAGTTATTTTGAACCTTCCTTTAGCGGCACTCTGGACCTTGTAAACATTGTTCTTTCAACTAAAATATCCCTCTTTACAAATCCACTCATTATGTTTATGCTACATTAACGTTCATGCTTCAATGTTCTCTCTCTATTGAATACCAAATTATCAGAAAATGCAAACATAATGATGGATTTGTTCCAGAGGGTTTAAACCTGCTTCCTGTCCATTCCACTGAGAACACTCATGGCGGGCACACTGCAGAGATGGAGAGCCGTTGACCTGTGTGGCATGCTATAGCTAATCATTCGAGATGTACCCAAGCAGTGATACCCAGATGGGTACTTGTACCAAACAGGGGGTACTTCTACAGCTGCCTTGCTGGCTTTATTCTGGATTTCAAATTCTGGATTTATTCTGTTGCCTTCCAGAGCTGACATTCTCCAAACACATCAACCACCCCAATAGAGTCCAAGCGCCAAATACCTTCTGTCATGTCACATTTCCATGTTATCTATGGCAATGAATCATTTTCTTTATTCACTCATTGAAATATAGATCTGAATAAAGAAAAAGACATTCTGTTATAGCCTGAAAACCAGGTTCAGTGTCTTACCTGACAGACCAGTACACCCTGATTTTAGCCAACAAGATTACAGCAGACCCTCTGCAACCCCTTTGGTCGGAGTATGAACTCTTGACTTCAGGGCGCAGGTACAGAAAGAGGCATTACATCCTCTGTAAAACGCAGTATACCACTGCTTAAGAAGCTCTGATTATACAGTATGAACTTGGCACTCTGCACTTTATTTAAATTGCTGCTGAAATCCTTCATTTAATCATATGATGCTTTAATGTGTTTTTATGTGCTGTTCGATGTTTGTTTGAATTGAGTTTTTAGGCTCTCGTTGCAAATTAAATACCCCTAGGGGCAATAAAGGTTTCATTCAATCCTTCTTAAAGTAATGAATCAATGGCTGACACACTTTCTGCCACTTAAATGACCTTACAGTTATTTGCAACCTTTTTTAAATTCCATAAGTGATTGCAACATCTGTAAGTAGTTGAACAATGTGCAGTTTGATATAACTTAATATAACCATGATATGAACAGGACAGTTTATCTGCATAAGATGTTCTTAAGTTCAGTTGGCTGGGCTCTGGAGGAAGTCAGTATCAATGTATAAAAAAAAAAGAAGGGATGAAGACCTGTCCTCGAGGCTCCACACTGCAGTATTTAGTAGGTCTTTTTTTACTTTTGACTGTCCTTTTTAGTGTTCGTCCAGAGGGGGCATTTATCACTGTGCTCCACTCCCTTTACTGAAGCTGTGGACAGAGTACTGGCCAGAGGGCACGTGGCAAAGAATGAAACACGAAGTGTGTATTAGAGAGGGGCCAGAAAAGTAAAGAAAAGTATAAGGAGAGGACGGAGAGTTATTGCTGAAGAGATTAAAGTTATTCTTTTTAATATGTTTTCAACCAGAGAAGTTCAGGTCTATGTGAAGGACACCAGGTCTTCTACTCACAGGAGAGTGGATCTGTTTTCAGGAAGGTCCAGCAGGACAGGAGGTTCAGCCGTCTGGGAGGGGATGCCGGGCCGATTTGTGTGGGAAACGGAGTCTCTGACACCTAAGGGAGAAAAGATCAAATGAACACACAATGACAAGGAAATGAATGGTACAACTTATTCTTCAAGAAAATAAAAAATGAACTTAAAAACCGCTACCTATTCCTTACATGATTTGATTTGTTCAGACACTTCCACTCCCCAGTATCATTACAGTATGTTGATATCTAATTGTATAATTGCATACAATTCTTACTGTGTTTAACTCTGCTCTTAAAACAAATGTATTTAGGCCCCTCCTCCTTCACAGTCCTGGCCCTCAGCGGTCCTTCCTGCACTTCATTCTCATCTTCATGATCATTAGTCTCTCTCCCATTCTGCTGCTTTCTATATCACACAGCGGTGTGATAAGGTCATATGCTATAAAGAGGTCCAATTAACTCACTCCATGTTTTCATTAATCAATAACCTTTCTCTACAGACCTCATCAATTGTTCTCTCTCTCTCTCTCTCTCTCTCTCTCTCTCTCTCTCTCTCTCTATCCATCCCACACACACATATACACAGGAGAGAGATATTCCCTCGTACCGTAGAGCTGCCAGACTCGGACCTTGTCTTCATAGGGTAGGTCGTACTTCAGAGGGTCTCCCACTGGACCCTGGTAGTACGGCCTCATGATGGACTCCATGGCTGACGTGTGGACCAGGCCGATGGCATGACCGAACTCATGGACCGCAACCGCAAACAGATCCATCCCATGAGAGTCTGAGGAGACAGACAGAAACAGAGAGAGAGAGAGAGAGAGAGAGAGAAGAACATGGAGATTGTCATTTTTAACACAAGTATGTGTTTTGTGGTCTTTTCTTTGTTTTTCTCATGCAGCTACATTGACTGTATTCAGTTGAGATAATGCAAAAATATTCATCAAATGAATGTATATTTCCATTTTCATCAATACATATTTGAGCTTTAAAATGAAGCTCTCATGAAAGAAAGAGAAAAATGTATTTTTTGCACGCCTTGTCTATTGTTCTTTGTGCTACTGCTGCAAAACAAATTTCCCCTTTGTGTGACAATAAAGAATCTGAATCTCATTTCTCATACTGTTTTGCATTCACTCCCACAGCAAATGATCACTCACACTTTCCTCCAGTGATCAGCCATTCTCATCACCTGGTTACATCTTTACCCTGAATGTTAGCCTAGGTAAGGCAGGTCAGCTTTATTTGTACAGCACATTTCATACACTGAGGCAAATTCAGGGTGCTTTACAGAGAAATAAAAAACATCATAGATTTGCATTTAAAAAGCTCATGAGTAAACGATTTAAAAAATCCTTCAATTCATTAAAAAGGTAAATTGCTTTAAAAAAAAAAGTAAAAGTTTAAAAAAAGTAATTAAAATTGAGTTTAGAATTAAGTTTTCCGGCATTCGAGGATAGAGTTTAAAAAAGGAACATTTGTAGGGTAGTTGTTGTCAGAATAGGTACCCATCAACTGGGTGAATAATCCACTCTGAGCCAATCATATGATCACAGTTCATTCAAGCCATCTTTAGAATCAAGCAACATCATCAGCAAACAACTCCATCTCCAATGTCTGGACTCCTCGAGAGAATACATCCTGCTGCCGCTCAGGGCACAATCTTCAATCAGCCCGTCTCCCTGTGGAGTTATAGCACCAATGACTCTCTGAAAATAATTTATAACCACATCATCTCTACATGATAAATATTTCTTTACTTCATTTACTTGTTACTCCCGATTGCACTGGAATTAAACGGGAAAACACACACCATCCAATTTTGAAAATTGCATTTCGCCTCCCTCATTTACGTGAGCAGTCAATTCAATCAAAACAGCAGCACTCAGCACATTTTTTTCTGTCCTACAATTTTTGCTGTCCAGCCTGGTAGTAAATTACTTGAGAAGGAAATTGCACACTCCAAATCTAAAGACATGCCTCCTTGTTTGGTGCCTCTCAATGTTTCAAATATGAATCTTCATTTTGGGAATGTTAGAGGAAACAAAAGACATAAAAGCATCATCAATTATTTCAGGGTCCCTGCAAAGATCTCAGCTTCGGCTTTAACAGAGATCACCTTGCTGCATAACGTTGGTGACTTTTGTAAAGCCGACACAATCCTCGTTTGCCTGTTTATCCCTTTGAGGAGTGAACTCTATAGGTTGCAAGTTAAGAGGCGTGACAGGCAGCTCTGGTGGCTGTGAGTGCTTTAGGCATGTGCAGTAGTGAGATAACTATGGTAATACTGCCTGAGCCTCTGGGCTGCCAATCAAAATCTGAGTGCAGAAAGACACCTAAACAGGCTGCAGGCTATTAAAGAACATGTCCCTGGATGTTCAACTAAAAAAGGAAAAAAGGGCAAAGCTTCCAAAAAGTCATTGTCTGGCTCCGCTAAGCAAGACGAAAACAGGGGTTTGGAGATTTAGATTTGCAAAAATGTGAGTGCTAGTTGTGAGGGGCAAAGCTAGCTTAGAGTTCCATGGTGGCTGGGCTGAAGTCTGCCTTCTGTTAACCTCATGTTGGCCCTGACGCGGCAACATCTCTGTGCCGTGCTCTCTCAAAAGACAAAAGGACAATTGGAGACATGCACTTGTGCCCACAACATCTGGGATTTTCAGATGCCCAGAGCCAACTCTAATCTACAGGAGCACATGGTGCAGGGAGGAAAGGTGGATAAAAGGAGGGATCGACAGGGAGAGAGCAGAGATTCAGAACAAAGTAGGTACCATGTCATGGTATTTACAGTCCTGTCTGAGGTTGACAGAGAAAAACCCTAATGCCTGCGGACAAAGTCAGAGCTGAGAGATTTGGGTGGATGAATGAGAGCCATTGAGTTAAACACCCATGGCAGAGAAGCAGAGAGCAGGAGAGAGAGAGAGGTTTAGACCAAAGAGACTGAAGAAAGAAAATACTTCTGCATGATAACCAACCGATTTAGCTGTTTTAATGTTGCAAAACGTCTAAAAAATGTCATCACTTTGATGCACACTAAATGTCGTATATTAAGGGGTACTTTTACCTTTGAGGTAGCATGATGTATTCAGAATGCTACGATCGTAGCCTGCAGCGCTGAATGAATAGTTTAATAATGATTGGTACCATACGGTAGGTGGAACACTATTAGCCTCCGGCTCCCTTTCTTTCATGTGAATTCTTGTAGTACCTTTCATTACCTTGCACCATGATGACTCAAGAATCGATACTTCTATCAAAATGTCTGAGGCAGGGAATGGTTTTTACTTTGTATAATGCAGGTAAAACCAGGCTAAAAGGGCTGGAATGGAAAAACACATTCACTTGATCTGTTCATAAGCATGTGGATGAACTAAGCAGAGGAAGATGATACAGCAATTCCAGCACATTCCCCTGCTGGTTAGATTGCAGGTTTGAAAATGTGTGTTTGTTTACTTTCTTTTTAAAGATTAAAGGAGTAATATGTTACTCTGACACCTAGTGATTAAAACTGATACTGCAGTCCAAATTCACAAAATTGGAGAGAGCTTTCTTCCACAGAGGCCCACATTAAGTTCCTGCAGATTGTTTCTTACAGTGAAGAAGCCATTACACATACTGTACATTACATTCTACAGTAAAGTTCAGGGAAGCTATTAAATTCCAAATCAGATACAGCTCAGACCCCTTACACATATTCATTAAAAGTCAAATATATTAAGATCATATTCAGAGAAGGAATAGACTAGAATCCCTGGAAAAGTATGAAAAAGGTGCCAAAGAAAAAAAAAAACTCTGCTTTTTAAAGTGTTGATAAAACGTTCTTAAACGTCCTGTGGATTTAAAGAACTGAAAGTAAATATAAGTCAGATTTGAAAGTTGCTGTACAGAAAACATGATGCACTGACTAAAATATGTTCTATTATGCAACATCATATTCTTGCAAAATACACTTCAATGTGCCCTCTAGTGGACAACATATGTATTAAAGACATTTTGGTGTATTAAATTGGTTACAACACAATATGTTTTATTACTGATTATTGGAAGAAAACTGCATTAAATATATCCTATGGTCAATAAAGGCTCTGTTAGTAGTAGCCAGTTTGTATATGTCCGTTGACTATTCCCTTATCAGTGATTTGTCCTGCCCAGGGTTAAGTGGATACAAAGAGAGATAGCGTCATGGTAAAAAAATTATTGAGAGAAATTACAGTATGTATAATCTCCTTTTTGTGAATATTTAGCATGTTAAATTATGCATGCACATTTAGAACCATTTGAGCAACTGATGGCAGCTATAAAAAAAATGATTTGGGACTGTCACATCAATGATCCTAATTTAAATAATACAATTTCAGCATTCAACAATGAGCAACAATTAACCATTAAAAGGCAAATGCTTTGGGAAAAAAAGAGAATTCAGTGAGTTCCTTCTCTTCTGAAAAAAAAAAATAATCATAATCCTGTAATATTTGATCCAGTTTTTAGTAGCTGGCAGGCTATTTGTACCCTGATGCATATGAAGTCATTTCACTGCCACCTGTGGATCAGTGGAAGTCTGAGAGTGTGAATCTGTCGTACCATCAGCCTGTGTGCACACTCTGCCAGCCCACCTAACACACTGACTTCCACCTATACTTCCTTCTGTTTGAGCATAACATTTTAAATTCACCTGTTGTCATAAAAATATTTGCTGATTGTAGAAAGCAAAAAGTTATACAATACATTCATATTAAAAGTAACTTGTACATTGTTTTTAATTGTAAATGATCATGTTTGTAACTGTTAACTAACTGTAACTTGTCTTGGGCTTTATGTTCCACATTCATCACTCTTATCAGCATTGTTTTCGAGACATAGTGACGAAAAAGCTTAAAATTTCATTAGATGTTACATGTCAAGCACCACATAATGAACTAGGGAAATCTAATCAAGAATAATCTCTGAGAATAGGAGCAAGTAGATGGTGAGAACAAAAAAAAAGCTCGGAGGAATGTGCATATAAGATGGTGCTATATCCACTGGATGTTTAATATGGTAACTGCTTCCCAAACTTTGGGACGTATTTACTTTTATAATATCTCCACCAAGCATTCAGCACTGCCTCCACATGGCAAGAAAATCTATAAATGAAAATACAAGTTTAAGAGTCAGAGTCAGAGCTGCGTTTAGTTGGAAATTACTTCTAAAAGTGCATTCTTGGTGCTGTGAAATGACCTAAATGTCAGGCAGAGACATCTGAGTACCACGTTGCTCTAAAGTTATATAGTAAATTGGGTAGCTATTATCTTTTCAAATGTATTAAGAGAGAAAGAGATGATTTGAAATTGTACAATTAGCAAGGACCTTGGCCTTGAGATAAGTCCCAATTGCTCAAGGCCTTCAGTGAGAGAGTCCTGAAGCAAGAGAATGGGTAAAGATCACAATCTGTTAATAACGATGTCTCCAGTACTATCTATATTTAAAATCACATGAACTCTAATTCTGTTCAAATAGAAGGTGACATAATCAAAGGCCGCAGTAATCAACACGGTGTTGTTGTTGTTTTTTTTAATTGATATTGATCGGCAACAAGAAACTGAGCTTTCTTGCCTTTACAGAGAGACGGGATGCCCTGACGTACAAATGGAAATATCTGAAAAGTTTTGTTCGAAACACATTTCATCCTTCATAGTGTGATGGAAAAGATGTAACCTTGAAAGCTAGAACACCTAACAAGGAAAGATTCACAGTTGGCATCTTTTCACTCCTTCTTGTGCCCCTCATTGGACTATCAGTAGTGTTGGG